AAAGTATACCTTAGGCACTAAAATTTAATAACAATAAGGTGTGAGAATTTGTTTTTGATGATATTTACTTACTCCATTTTCGAACACATACCTATTTTACGGATTTTCACTATTTTAGGTCACTTTCAGAAGATGGGTCATGTAGGTTGTCAAAAAAAACGGGGGTAAGGGTCTACAGATTCGTTTGTATTCAATTTTCAAGTTTGAGACCATTTTTAAAATCTACATTGTAGAAGCCTGGCTTTTAGTTATAAGAAAATATGATTTTGTCATACATGTTAAAGTTAGAATTGAGATTGCATAAATGCGCAAACAGTTTCACTGATATTTCCCAAACTTGTTGAATCTCGGATTTTACACTAGTCATTCTTAGTATGTTAAACGAGTAACATATGAATAAATAAACTTGTGAAAATATGTTATCATTCTGAATTATTGAGACTTTTATAACATGCAATTTTTTATTTAATTATAGATCTCAAAATGGCAATTCTATTGGATCCTAAAGTGTCCAACTGGAGTAAGTAAATTTGGTAAAAATAAAGATAATATCCGTTGCACAAATTCGTATCAAGGTCCAATTTTAAGCTTGTTGATTGTTATTTTAAGATAAAATTGGGCTCATTGAATTGGAAATTGTGCGTAGATTTTAAAAATGGTCTCAATCTTTAGCATCTGAATACATTTGAATCTATAGAGCCTTATTTCTCGTTTTTTTGGTACACCCTGTATATAAAATAGAAATATTAACTTATAAATTCGTATATTGATAATTTTATTATCTTTTAAAAAACTCATTTATTGGAAATATGTGTTTAAAAGTTAAAACATGTTTTAATATAAAAAGGTTAAAAAATCAATTTTGAAATGGGTTTTCACAGTTGGAGTGTTTTAGTTCTGGGTTTTATCTATTTCCAATAGTCAATATTTTAACACCAAACCACGCTCAAACAAACAAAATGAAATTTTAAATGTTTTTATTCTCGTTTTCTTTCAATACAATAAAAAATACTTTGTAATAAAATATTTGTTTTCTTTCTGTTTTTAAATTAAATATTTTTTTGGGGATATCTCCGGGCCCTACGGTGGATATCTCCAGGGTAGGGAACCTGATATCTCCAGGGTGGACTAGGGAACCTGATATCTCCAGGGTAGAGTAGAGAACCTGATATCTCCAGGGTAGAGAAGGGAACCTGATATCTCCAGGGTGGAGTAGGGAACCTGATATCTCCAGGGTGGAGTAGGGAACCTGATA